AACAGTCAGCATCCCAGCATGAAAGTACTTAATATGTAAGGGTGCTCTTCTGCTAAGCTCCATGCAGGATCAAGTATCAACATCACAGGTCATCTATGAATTTACAATACCACGCATTTAAACAAAGAATTGATCAGGATACTTGTGAGCTAGGCGAAACCATGCTGCCTGAGCTAGGCAAAACCATGCTGCCTAAGTTTTCTTCTTAAATTTCAAAACAAAAGGAACACGCATTCAAATGTTTCAAACACTATCACAAATATGCAAATTCCTCTACTTACTTATCAGTATATCAGTTTTAATTTTCCAGTATTTGCCAGCCAATACTGCAAGCAAAGTCTTTTTTACAGATACTCTTCTTGTGTTTAATGCAGACACTAGCCTATATAAAATGCTTTTCCTTAGCTGACAGACTTATGGATGTAATAGAATCTTCCAGTTAATAAAGATATATCTTATTAGTAGGTTACAGTTATCAAAGCAGCAGTCCTATTTTTGGCAAACTCTAGAAAAAACACTGCCCGAAGGAATTTGATTATGCTGAACAATAAATTGAAACAAAATTTCATGCGTGTTCATGTTGCTGTGCTCACAGCCCCAGAAACAAGTTAAAACCCCAACAAATTCTTACTAGTTTTCACTTCAACAAACAACTTAACTGTGCTTTACAGAATAAATGATAGAACGGAGTCATCAGCTGTTCTACACGTCATTTAAAATGTGCTCCAAAGAAATTAAAAAACCAAAAAAACCCAACAGTTAAACAGAATCCCTAATACATGACTTAGCAGAGGGTGAAAATTAACTATATAAAGTTCTTTGAGGTGCACCTACCTAGAGATAGGCCTTTAGCTTTGGGAAGAAGTACACTACCACATGACAGCTCCAAACAACTGACTTTATGCCTTAAGACTTCGGAGAACAACCAGCTGGAAGTTAGAAAATCATTTTTGGTAAGTGACAAGAATGATTTAGTGTTTTTGTTAAAGGTCTTGGATGGTTTGGTTTAAAATTTGATTTAAAAAACTCAGTATTCATTTTGGAGCAAAGCAATAACTGAAGCCCTTAATGAGAAACTAGCTCTTCAGTGGATTAGACTTTAAATATTAAACTCTCAGTTATGATTAGATAAGCAATAACTTGATTCAGATAACATTTTTAAGAAAATAGCACGGGTCAGAGCTTTAACAGGTACCCACAAGGTACAGGAAGACAAAGCTCCGCTCTGATGACTGGAACTTAACACTGCTTTCTCTACCCTCTGCCATCCACCAGATGAAGCAAGAGGAAGAGAACAAATATGTCACAGGCTTAAAAGGCCCAGCTGTTGACTAGATTACAAACCACTGAGTGCCAAATCTTTCAGGGTACCAGAAAGTGGTCCAGAAACTTCCAAAACAGAGTTATCAAGAACTTACTCACATGTTCATTTCATTTAATGTTTTTCTTTTCAAATTCCATCTCTGTAAGATGGAGGCTGTACACTTTACTGCAGAACTCAAAAAGAGTTTAAGAGCTATAACTTTTGCCTACAACAGAACCTAACCTACTCACTAATTCAGTGGCCTTAAAATGTAGCCGATGTGCAGTTTGTGGGAAAGTGTATAAAGGAGGCCTCAAGGCACCACAGAGCAGGGAAGGAAAGACTACTCAGCTTGTCATTCTTTGACAGAATGTCACAAGATATCTGGGTGGTCCTGGTAAGCAGTTAGGTGAGAGTCTTTAGTTTCCCTACGCCTTAGGTGTTATTAATGGCAATGAATATAATGACAATACGAGTGTCAGTCTGGACTCCACAGTAAACAAGTGGTGGGTTTGCCTCTATTATAAACTCCACCAGAAAGAGGCTTTGATTACAACTTGGAGGACTGGGAGCCAGCAGCACTACAGACTAACTGCTACTAAATGATCATTGTTTTGTTAAGTCAGAAGTCCTATCAAGATGACTTAGAAAAGAACAATTTATGTTTGAACTGAGGACTCAATCATTTTCCTGAGATTTAGGAGGTAAGAACTGATAAAAGCTTTAAATACTGAACTTGAACTCTGAAGGTGTCTGACATGTGGACAGGCACAAGAGTTGTGGTATTTGTTCTTGTAAAACTTTCAAGTGAAGGAGCACACCAATAATTAGTATGGACTTCCCCATTCTCTCCTAACACTAATGTGGGGTAGAAGCAAAAAAAGCCTAGAAAGTTGAAGGACAGCACCAAGTAGTAAACCATTTTCAGGCAAGGCTGACTTTGTGTTCTAAGTTGGCCTGCCACTGAAAGAACTTGATAGTATGGCATTAAAATATCTTTTTTTCCTCCAAACTTGAGAAATTTTATTTTCTGGGATTGCTACTAAAAGGTAAGAGTTTCAAAAAGTAAAATTTCTGCAGTCTTGACAGAGGTGCCCAAGGCTAGCATTTCATGAGAATGTAAAGGAATAACTCTCATTCTGTAGAGAGGAAGAGATACAGAAAATCATTTCTTAAGAAACAAAATCCACATACAGGCTGACTACATTTATATTCTTAACATCGAAGACCATGTTTGTGCACACATTTGTACAGTTCTTAACAGTTTTTAAGTCCAGACACGGCAATTCTGCAAGCTTTCTTCAATCAATCAACTTTGTTTTTCTCAGCACCTTCTTCAGAAGAAGTGGGAAATGGACCATAGGTCAGACAACTTCAAAGGGACAAGAAAATGTCATTTAAAGTATAGATATATCTCCCCTTCTAAAGGAGACACCACTGAGCAGTCAGCTCGTGGACTCAGGAGGCCACTGACCTAGAAATGACAGTGATCAGCCATTCTTCCTCAGCATTTTCTTCCTGTATGGAGATCTTCAAAGGACTTTGCATTTCTTTCCAACCAAGCAACAGTCTAATATTTTAAAACAATAGCAATAGTTCATACCTACCAGTATTATTTGACCCAATTTCAAACAAAAGATACTTGCTAGACTTGTTTCCAAACCTCATATGAGTCTGTTCTAATATCTGAACATACTGTTTTCTTTTTCACTATGTGACAGAAATCTGAGGGGGTTCTTTGAGTCTAAAGGGTCTCTTCTGAAAGCATGCTGGAGGAATACTTGGGGAAGAAGACAGAAGCAAGAAATGAGTAAATAAGAAGTTGAACCACAAGACAAAGCAGCAGCAGCAGAATTCTAACAATCCCCATGTCGTTACAAAAAAGAATCAACGTCCCTTGGGAGACTGCAATCTAACTCTGTGAAAACAAAACTGTTCTCATTAGTTTTGCAGAGGAGATCTAACACAAAGAATGCTAGCTTGCTTACTCCTGTTCTCATTGAGGGAAAGGTCTGACTTTGCAGACTGGAATTAAAAAGGTTCCCGTACTCTTAATGGCTTCAGTGGCCATTTCACAAATTAGAAGGCATGTCAAAAAAGCCAGTGGATTTCCACCACCTTGTTAGAGAGAACAACAGGAGTTCTCTAATCCAAAAGATCTATAATCTATTTCAGTATCTACAGCACCCTGAGGAAATTCTAAAGCCTTCGGAAAGGCACTTGGGGGTAGATAATGCCACTTAAGTTTTAGCCAGTAAGAATCATCTTCTCTCACAATAATCCAGGTAATTTACCTTCATCTACACCTCTAGTCTGAAAAGCCTCGACATTAGATGCCCTGTCATTTGAGGATAACTTGTACTGAAGTGAGGACCATTTGAGGATAACTCATACTGAAGTGAGGACAAGCATGATAGTTTACCTCTTAAGATTTTCCAAACCCAGACATTTATTTGCAGTTACAGATTAATCATATAATTTACTTGGACAGCCAGAAGGCATTAACAACAAGAAAAAAAACAACCTTTGGATTTTTATTACTAGGCACAAAACAAGTAACAGAACAAAGCAGGATAACCGAAGGAACATGAAGTCCTACAAAAATTAAGAACAGGCAGATTCTAGATTTGGAAGTTGAAGATCTTCTGTTGGTTTTAAAATGAGAACCACAAGAATCAACAGTAGTCGCAAGAATCCCTTAGGGCCTGTTGCTGAAAAAAATTCCTTAAACTTTGCATAATCTTCAACAAATGTCCACTTCGATCTTTTCATCTCATGTGAAGTCTTCTCTTCACCTGTTTATATTTGGTCAAAATGGAAGATAATTCAGCAGGTTTTGAAGAGGGGGTTTCCCCACAGCTAATCCCTAGAGAATTTAAAGGGCTAGTCTTGACACAAACTCAATCTGTAAATGAAAAGATAATCCCTGCAAATAAAACACATTTTTTGACAAGCCAGAAGCAGCTTTCTCAAGCAGGATGGTTTGGGACGTAGTTGACATTTAAGCAAAAGGGTCATACATGGATCTCACACTGCTAGCACAAGTAATGCAGTGCTCAAGGTTTTTCTTCTCCATTGCTGCAAACAGTGGCTGAAAGCAAGCTGGAGGAGAGGGGTGAAATGAAAGCTGTAGTGAGCAATCCAGCAGCTAAAGTTACCTGTTAAATTTTTACTAGTGGAATCAGGATCCAGAAAATGTTAGTATCAGCTGAAGCAGTAATTCAGCAGTAAAGCATGATCAAGGGGTTTTAATCCTCTGAAGCAGGTGGAGAAGACAAGCAAATTATTTCAGATGTTTTCTAATATTTTTAAATTATATTTTTAACATAACCTTACACATTTTCACTTGTAAACTCACCAGGCAATTGGCTGAAGAACAGGATTAAGATACAACCACTTTCATTCATCATCAATATCATCAATGTCAGAAATTAGATTTGATTCCTGAGCTGATAAAGCTTAATAAAAATCACCAAGACTACTTTAGAGAATTCTATGAAATTCTAAATTAAAAGCATTACTCAACAGCCTGTTCTGTAATACACAAGTTTAACAGTATTCCAAGTCTCTCTGTTACATTAAAGAAAGTATGCAGTCAGCTACAATCAAAGTTAAAACAAAAAAGTGCCTGTGATCTAAGGAACATTATTCCAGACCTGTTGTGAATCAGTGAAAAGGAGAGTAGCAAAGGACATACCTTGGAACTGCTCCCAAAACAATCAAGTTGGCTTTTTGTTTGTTGTTTCCAATTACAGCATTTTTCATATCTCTGTAAATCCAGAAAGAAAAACAAACCCTGGTAAATTATGCTGAGGTACTGAGGGCTTCATCTATAGAATTTACTATTTCCATGAAGGCTTAACAAGTAGTCTTCCACATGTCCATGCTGTACCTACAGGACTGAGTAGTGCTTCAGGGCACCATTTCCACAGCCCACAGATAAATACCCCAGAGCTCTGGGATTCCATTACATCCCAGCTTACACAAGTAAGCAAAAACCCAAACTCTCTCACATGCACACCAGACACAAAGAAGTCTTATTATTGAGGAAAAAATAGATATACTGGTTCCTTGTGTCCATATATTCACTAGACTTCTAAAAGATAAAAATCACTATTGGTTGGGAAATCACATGTAGGTAAAGTATTAACTCAATATTCTACTGGGTGCAGGAAAAGACAAGCTCGGGGGGAAAAAAAAAAAAACAAAGGAACAACAAACTATCACCAGTCTCCACAGACCAGGCTTTCACTCTCCTCTTGACCACAGGCTTCCTTTTGTGAACTTCCGCAGAGCACCTAAACATCTGTATGTCAAAATCCCAGGAACAAAGTGGAAACAAAAGCCTTTTCCTGTCTGAAAGTTACTGCAAGGTTAAATACATTAAAGGCATTCATACTACACTAGAGGAAGAAGGGGAGCATTTCAGGAGGGCAGCACTGGTTGCACGCGCCAAGAAGTCCTATGAAAATATGTGGTTTGCAACCTTCTTGTTCCAAAAATTGCTAATGTATCCTAAAAAACACCACCACCTTGTAAAGACTTTTTTTTTCTTCATGTGAACATATATGAACATCCAGAGAATCTGAAGGAAAGCTAGCAACTCATGACCAGTTTTAGAAAACCACAATGACTCATTTCTAGGAAAATCTCTAGTTGCAGGGACCTTTATAAAAGCAGTCCAAATTCAAATAATTCTTTATCAACAAAAAACAAAACTAGATTGATTATAGTGTTAATAGTTGCAAAACTGATAAATTAATCACTGGCTAACTATGCCCATAATTAACTCAAAATTTGGGAGCTTTAGTGGTTGCTTTAAGTTAGCATATTTTCTTGCCACTGTATCACTCTCACCTGTTAACTGCAAATTTTAAGAGATTTAGGGTAGCCCAGTTCTTTAAGATCCACCCTGGCCTACATGAACACTACACAAGTCCTTACATACCCACTGAACGTGCAAATTCCACTGCAAGTAGCAGTTGTCACAAGTGTTAAACTCACTTCATCAGAGTTATAAAAAATTTCTTAGCTAAGGTAGGCAATGTCTGGACTGGCATAAACAGAACCTTTACAAACCTCAATTATTAAGAGGTAATTGCCCATTCTTCCTGAAGTATTTCTCCATGTGACTCACTCTCCCGTTGCATACAGTTACCCGGCCACAGAAGAGTGCTCTAGGAATTTTAAGCAAACGGAGACTAATTTCTCACGTTTGAGTAGTGATCTTGGAGCTCCAACAAGGGAGCAGCACTAAAAGCAGCTGAACACTGAACTGCAGTTCTGTGTATCTCCTAACACAGGCAGAGTCAGGAAACTACTTGTCCTGTCAAGTGAGCCACTACTTAACAGGAATCTGCCTACCCAGCACACAGTTTTACACAGCTGACTACCAGCAGAAAGTGTTGGACCTTTCTGTTCTATCTCCCTTAAGTTTGGTAACATTACAGCACAAGACAGAAGGCAGAGAAGGAGCAAGATCAGAAGACAGGCCAAGCTGGAAGGCCAAGAAAATTTAAGGAACAGACTTGAAGATTTCACTAAATTTGGAAACAGTAATTCAGTGATTTCTATGCTGAATGCTTGGTATAAAAATATCCCAGTTATTTTTAAAGGTTTTTAAAATAGAAGAGTCAGTCCAAAACAGTGGCAGAAGCAATGATCAGATGTCTCAAAGCAATGGAAACTGTACCAACAGATGCGCTAGGTTCAGGTATTAAACAGCTCAGGCCACTCTAGGACTTCTGAAAAGGCTACGGCTCCTTGTTATCCTTAGGCAACAGTTCTCCAAGTCATCAGAAAGGCTCTATTGTATCATGTATCTGCAAAGGCATCTTAAGAAGCTAAAGAGAAGGCACTTGCCAAGCACTCTGAAGAACTGAAAAACAGATTTGGTGACATTTTAATCCTCTGCTCAGGTGATTTTGCACAACTATTTTGTGTTAAAAAAACCACACACAAAAAACAAAACAAAACAAAAAGCACCTACAATAAAACTTTTGCGACACCGGCACCAACTCCACAATAGAATGGATTGCTAACCTTATAACCATTTAATATGTAATAAGTGCCGCCTATCAGAATTTGATTTGGAGACTCTTTCAGAAGTGGCAGGAACACGGCCAAGTTCCATAACACTTAAACTGAAAGGTCTGGTGAGGTCACAGCCCTGGTCTGTAAATGATTGAGATTAATTTCTCCATCCTAGTTCATAAAGTTCCTCAGAAAGGTCATGGCAGATAGACAAGAAATATCACAAGCTTGAGATTTCTGACAAATCCAACACACGTATGTTCAACTACTTCAAGCTGCAAGCAAGTAAAATAACTTCAAATTAAGATGACCAAAAACTGCCAGAGATAGGACTCAGCAAAGGTTTGTGTGCATTATGCCTTGGCACTCCCAAGTTCCATGCCATGCTTATCTCTTCAAATTTGCCACTTACAGAAATTAACCTATTCAATGCACAGGAAGCAGGTGTATAGGGAAACCAAAAATATGCTTAAAATGCCAAAATCCAATGTTGAACAATAGTAGACTTTTTTTTTCCGTTTACTATGAAAACTAATTCTGTGATTCCATATTACATTTTATGGAGATTTTCCTGATCAGGAACCTAATCTCCTTAAAAAGTAAAGTACCACCAAGTGCTGTCCTAGTCTACCAAATCCTTGGTGAATCATGAACCTTAGAAAAACTGAGGGCAACTCCCTTATTTGACATCATCACCTCCAACAAGTTTGAGCTTGACTTATTTCAGATCCAAGACAACATGAGAATCATCCAAGGAGAAAAAGCAGTAAAGTTCACTATCTTTTACAAGAGGTAACAAAGAAACCTCAGAAATTTGTAGTCCAAAACCAGATACCCACTTTATTTCCAAGTGTCACGCATGCTGCTCCCATTTCCTACTGTGAAAAGGGGTCCTTGAAAGGAGGAAGAAGGAAACAGCACCAAAACCACAATTACAAAGAGGTAAGAACTTCAAAAGAACAAGTAGCCTATGGTGATTCTAGGTCTAAACTGTGAGAAGACCTTGATCCAGAAGAGGGAGATAAACAGGCCTTCCAATAAGCAACTCCAAGCTCTCAGGTAGATTATCAACTCTACTGCTGGGCAGCAGGACAGCATGAGCAGCTTCAGAAGAAAAAAAGCAGATCTTGCACGTGTACCTAGTACATTCCAGCAGTTTCTCAGCCTCATAAAGCTAACTTCTACAGAGCCAAAAGACAAACCATGAAGCTTTCATGTAACAGAGTCTTAAGACACGTTTGAGATTGCTTGGGTTTTGGGTTGGGTTTTTTTTTTTAATATCCTGTGTATTAAATCTTATAGTTTAGGTTCAAACTAAAGTAATTTAATGAAATAACCGGAATTACAATAATTTTAATGCATAGATTTAAAATCTGATCACTGATATTTATGCCTACCTTTACTATAACACAAAGTAATTTACGTGAAAAAACTTTCAAGCAGGGTAATGCAGGCAGGCAACAATGAAATAGAGCAAAGAGATCCAGCTAAGCACTTGGAAATACTGCTTCCTGAAGTGCTAAACCAGTTTTTTCCACTTCTTATTGCTTCTTAAAGAAATAAGAATATAGTTTCATCAGTTCAATTCTGTGACCCCCTCAGTTTTAATTGATGAAATTAACTAGAAATTGCAAAGATAGTAAGACTTATTTTCTTCCTAAAAACTCTAGTAAAGGGGAAAAAATTACCAGGTGATGTTTATCAGCTCTAACAATCTTTTGAAGCAAAGCAACCGAGAAGCACTCAGTTCAATTAAATAGCTATAAATACAATGCAAAGCATGCTTGTTTCATAAGTTTATTAGCACAGTTCAAGTGTTTAAAATAAAATATATTGGGAGTACATTAAGCTCACAAAAAAAAGAATCCCATTTCCATCCAAATCCAGCTCGACAAGTTACAAGAGGAACTAATCTGCCTATTTTGTATGGTTAGTATGTTTTTATTCTGATGCTTACTGTGTAATTGTTTAAAGGCACCAGATATAGCCCACTTCAGATAAGCAAGAAGCAATATTAAATATAACAATTTACAAGTAAAACACGGCATTTAAGTTTTAAAGATTCTTAGCCAATAAAAATTAATATTATGAAATATTTAAGGCCTGGGAAAATTAGCATTCTAGTCTGTCAATGTAAATTACTATTGTAGAAGCAACTTAAGGTGCTGCACTGTGTTGCAAGCAGAAATTAGGGAAGTTCAACATCTTCATGAAGCTGATTCCAAGTTTGGGACTCCTCCCACAAAAACACCCAACGTGTCCAGTAGCTAGTGTGCCTGCTGTTCTCTGAACTGGTGAGCTTACCTTCCAGCTGAGAAAGAACAGGCCTCTAAAGCATTCCTCACAAGCCCTGATACCTGCACCTCTTCTGCAAACAGGATCATAAAAAAGCAACATGGACACACAGACTCCTCAGTAAGAATTTGGTTTTACCTACATTTTTAAATACAGTAAATCAAGCACAAACATAAGAAATTTTAAAATTCTGATGGGAAGCCCTGGAGCTTTCCTGTGTCACCTTCTAGCAAAGCAACACAAAAGATCTTTAAACAAGCTGGCATGACTTGATGAGGAAGCAACAATAGGAACTACACAGAAGAGGAGGAAATAAACAGCCTGCATGGTATTTTCTCATGCCTTTTGAAAATAGAGTAGGTAGCCACATTTAAGATGTTCCTAGACTGAGAAGGATATCAAATATGAGATGAACAATCACAGAAGGAAAAGTAGTCCTAG